TGTCCTGATGGCTCCCTCACCCTCACTCAGTCTGGGTGGGGAAGAGTCAGGTACAGACAAGATGTCCCCAGTCCCTCAGTCGTCACTGTTCTCTCCCCTTGGCAGCCCTTTATTTAGGTTTCATGCAGGGACACAGGACCTGGTGGGCCCAGGTGATGCAAGACAAATAGTGCATTCACAGCCACAGAGGCAGAAGGCAGGCAGCATGCATGTGCTGAGCTGCAGGCTTCTTCCTGTTGGATGGCCCTGAATTTGCACCAAGGGGTGGTCATAAAAGCAGCCAAAGCCGCTGGAATCTTTGCTCAGTGGCTTGAGCACTCACCCCCACATGCTCCAGAGATGATCTCATCATGGATGTGGAGCAAGGGTTTCACTTGGCTAGTGGGGAGGATGTCAGTCCCCAGAGGACAGACGTATGGAGGACCTAGGAGCCTCAGGCATTTCCCACCCATTCCTGCTGAGAGAAAATTCTACAGCTCTCAGTTTAAGCTGGATACAGTCTTAGGCTAGAAATGTAAACCTTCTGCTGGTAATTCTACCTCTATCCTCAAAACCTCCAGCTGCCTTCCTACCAGAAACTACTAAGGCAGGTACAGGTCAAGATGATCAAATCAAATCAATGATCAGTTAAAAGTGTTTATTTTTAAATGAAAAGGGAAAAGGGAGTAACACAGAGGCAACGTTTGGCATCTCCTTTCTAAGCCATCACCCCCATGTGCTCCCCAACTCAAAGAACTGGCAGGAGGGGCCCCAACAACAGGCTGAGGGGCCAGATAATTGCAGTCAGTCACAGAGAAATCTGTACAACCCTGGAAAGGTGGGATTCAAGAGTCTGTCCCAGCCCCCTTGTCCTGGAACAGGGTTAGAGCTCAGGGGAGTAGGGCTCCCCAGTGGGTGAGGGCACCCGCAGTTCGGCATCGTGCCTTACCACGGTGAAGAGCCCCACCACTGCCAGCAGAGCCATAACCATGACAGCGGAGCATATGCTGAACATGTTCCGAGTGCCTGTTTTGCGATCACTGTCATGGAGGACTAGGAGCCCCAGGCAGGCCAGTAAGTGCAGGGGCACCCGGAACCAGTTGAGTACACCAGCTTGCTCTGTCTCAGGGATCACCTTTCTTCGCAGGAAGCTCATGCTGGGAAAGTACAGTCCACAGGCCAATTCGATAAGTAGGAAGGCTATGAAGGACTCCACGGGACTCTCCTGGCCTGGACTGGTGGAGAAAGTCAGCATGAAGAGGGAGAAGACGACGATGAGGACAGCAAGGGAGAGTAGGTGCATAGGCTGAAGGTGGTACTTCTTGGAGGTAGCGATGCGATACAAGGAAGAGCCGAGCAGGCTGGCTGCCATGAAGCTGGAGAAGATGATGCCTAGTGGGGCCCCATGTGGGTCCAGCACAGGTGTCCAGAGGAAAACAAAGATGAAGATGACACTTTCAAACAGGGCCTGTATGGTACCCAGCAGTAGCACACGGCGGTCTGACAGGAGGCAGCGCAGGCCCCCAGCACAGGTCCTTGAGAAGGCACGCTGCCGATCATAGTTCTCTCCCCAGTTGTGAAGGACCAAGGCTCCAGCCAGAGCTAAGAGAGGGATGGCAGCCACAAAGGGCGCTACAGGCCCCAGTCCCATCCAGCAGGCCACAGCTTCAGCTGCCACACCTGCCACTACAGCCAGCACATAGTTCCAGAAGGCGGCTCGAGCAAAGGTAGCTGGGATCCACTCAGCAGGGAAGTCATGGCGCTCCACATGTTCATGGATGTACCAGGCCTCGAAGGCAGAGAAGAGCAGGGCAGTGGACAGCCCACCAAGTGCTCGCCCTACCAGCAACACAAAGTAGTCCCGAGAGAGTTTGGTTAAGCAGCACAGAGAGTAAGTGAGGGAGAAGAGGACACAAGACTTTTTTCGACCTAGCCAATCCACAAGGGAGGAGGCTACCAGTCCAAAGAGAACTGTGGAGGCAAGGCCACAGACATAGAGGATGGCAATTTGACCTTCCAAAAAGTGGTAATGCTGATAGAGTTTATAGAGGTAGGGGGCCTGAAGCCAGTCAGCGGCCAGGGCCAGGAAGTAGACCTGATAAAAGTCCAGTTGAAACCGAAGGAAGGAGGGGTTGCTGCAGGCCCTTCCTGGGGGCTTAGCCTGGCATCTTGACAATTCCAACCCCAGGCAGGAGACCAGGAGGACCACAAAGACAAGGTAGGCAGTCACCAGCATGGCGGGCCCCCGGACGACCTGGGAAAGAAGGGGCTTTTAGAGTCACATCCATTGCCCAGGCAGCACTGTCAAGGGGCTGGGTATTCAAGCAGAAGGCAGCTCCACCCTACCCACCTGCCAACTTCACTTCCCCACCCCTCAACTCCACTCCCCCAGAACTCAGACCTGAGGGACCAGTTGGGTGGGTGGGAGGAGTGGCCCGCCAGAGCGGTCTCCTAGGACACTGTGGGGCAGGAAAGAGGTAAGAGGATCGGGGAGAAAACTGAGCATTCGCGCTAACCTTGCCTGGCATAGCAAAGAAGTCCCCTCAATAATCCCGTCCCCTTAAATTAAGAGGCAGCTGCCCTGTTCCACAACAGCTTCCGCATACTTCCTTCAAATACCTCCCATCCTTTCTGGGGAACCCGTTCTAGCCTTAAATGTCCCGTCTTCTGTTCCGGGCATCCCTCCCGTTGGCGCGGGCCTCTACAGTAGTTTCATGGTCACGCGCGTGCATCTCAGATTCCCCATCCTCCAGGTCACGGGCACCCCCTTGCGCCCCCTAGCCTCGGCCCAGCGCCCCAGGGCCGCCACACCCGCTCGCGCCTTACCCAGACCCCATCTCACCTGCTGCCCCGGTCTGCGGGGACGCTCGGGGCACGTCCGGCTCCAGGCCGCCCGCTGCCCTGCCCGCTCTACCTCCGGCTCCGGCTCTGGCCTGGGTTCTAGCAGCGTGCCCGCCCCTCACAGCCTGCTTCCGGGAGCCGGGTAGGCCTCCGGTCGCCGCCATGATGGTCCCGTCACGTGACGGGGGCGCGACGCTCAAGCCCCGCCTCTGCTCCGTCCTTACCAGCGCGCTGCCGAGGTCCGGATGCCGGTGGCTGCACGGCTACAACGGGGAAAGGCTGCTGCTGTTTTCGGTACGGCCTCGTCCGCCGCCTTTCCGTGTTACCCGGTCCTCTGACTCCCATATACCTGTTGGGCCACCTCGAAGTAAGGGCCCATTTAATCTCTCTTTCAACGTGCCGTAGGTTAAAGAGCGCAGCTGTGCGAGGGGAAAATGCCCGAAGTCCCAGAGAACCCGGGGCTGGAGCTTCCCAGGGAACACCGCTGACCTGGGCTCTTCTGTTCTCCCCTCTTTCATCGTAGTGATCTCAAGGCCAGAAGTTCGTATGGCCCAGACACCTGAGGGAGGCAGTGTGGTGTGAAGGACTTGGACTCAGGCTGCAGATAAATGCTCAAATCCCACCTGTGTAACTTAACCAGCTGTCTGGCCTCGGGCAAACCACATAACTTCTCAGCATCCCAGTTTCTTTATCTGAAGTCAAAAGAGAGCAGTGCCCAAATAAAAAGGCTAAAGTTCAGCAAGAACTTCAGCCCTGGAGCGGACCGCTCACCTCCTGCTACTTACCAACTGTGTCACCTTGGAAATTTTTAGTATGATCTTGAGACCCTCCCCAATGACTTCTCATCTCACTAAGCATAAAAGCCAAAATCTTTATAGTGGCCCACAAACCCCTCTGTTCTGCTCTCTACTGCTTCTATGACCTCATCTACCATTCTCCTTCTTACTCCTACTCTGTCTGTTCTGGCCAACACCAGGGCCTTTGCACATTGTGCCCTGTAAGGTTCTGGTTCTCCCAGATACCCACATGGTTCCTGCCCTCAGTGCCCCAGTTCTCTGTTCACATGTCACATTATCAGAGAAGTGTTCCTTGGCCTTCCTGTTTGAAATAACAACAACACCTGCATCCACCATAGTAATCTATCTGCTTTCCTTCTAACTCTCTATGAGGTCTCCTTCGCTGCATTTTCTCCGTAGCACTTAACACCATCTGCCACACTATGTGTTTGTTTATTTATTCACTCTCTCTTCTCCCTACAGATTTTTATCTGCTTTGTTCACTTGTATTTCCAATACCTAAAACAGTTACTGGTACATAAAAAATTCTATGAATATTTGATAAATAAATGAATACATTAATCCATGTGAATTACTTTAAAAGTGCTGCCCTGTATTAGCCGTTAACACTTATCAAATGGGTTATTAGGTACCTAAGCTCTATTTTAAGAAGACCTGGGCCTATGGCTATAGGTGCATTATGTCATTTAACTTCCACAACAACCTGTAAGGTCAGTACTATTGTTATCCCCCAGAGTTGGGAAAGTTACGTATGTCCAGAGTCACATGGTAAGTAGAGTCAGAACTGTGACCCAGATCTTTCCAATTCCAAGTTCGTATGGTTTCTGAGAAGATTACAGGTGATTAGTACATGTTGGTTTTCTTTATACTAAAGTTTAGAAGGTAGAGGGTGGGAGGAACCAGGATTACATCTCGAGAAATTCCTGTGATAAAGCTGAGATTTATAGCCAAGCTCCAAAGTGCCTTCATCCCTAACTGGCAAACTTCTAGTGAGTAGAAAGTGTTCGTGGTTCCCATGCATTCATTTGAGAAACACTCAGACTCAAAAATCATGACTTCCCCAAGGTCATTCAGGGAGTGTCAGCATGAATGACCCAAATGCCCTCCATCCCAGTCCTGGGCTGAAACTCCTTGAACTCATGATGCCCAGTCCCTCACTTCTAGGTGGCCCAGTCCCTCACTTCTAGGTGGTCTTTTCTTTGAGGGTGGAGGTCATCCTAAATAAAGGTAGGAAGTGGGACAGGATGGTCTAACATCCCTTGCCTTCTGTTTCCTAGGACTGAGGCTAGTTATCTTCCATTACTGAGTTGCATTTTGTTTCAAAGCACCTGGCAGAGAGAGACTTAAAGCAAGATGACATCATTTTGGATTATTTCTGTTTATTTTAAGAACTATTCAAAATAGGTTTATTCTTTAAGGTTCCCCTGGCCCTTCAGAGCTGTGAGGCTCAGCTGGGAAAGTGCCAAACATGAGGAATGTGTCAGCAGAGAACTGGAGGGGATAAAGGGCAGCCTGTGAGCACAATCCATCCCTAGTACATTCTTCCAGAAGAGGGCATGGAGAGCTGGGGTCTGTGTGTGAGAAGTCACACATGGGAGGTCTTTCAGGGCAGGTGGGGAGGATGTTCTAGGAGTTACTAGGAATCATGTTTACCAGAGGAGCATCATTTAAAACATTTACTACAAAAATGTTCAAGCATACACAGAGGTAGAGAACATAATTCTGTGAACCTTTGTACACTTAATTCAACGTTATTGATTCTGCCACTCTTTCTGTCCTTTTTTTATTTGCCAAAACATTTAAAATTAAAAATGTCACTTCACTCCATACTTAAGTATGCATCTCTAGAAAATATCCTTTTTTTTTTTTTACAGGGCCCCAAAGTCATTTTTATATCTAACAAAATCAATACTGATTCCTTGGCCTCACAAATATCCAGTCCATAATTAACTGTCCCAAACTGTCTGAAAATGTCCTTTTACAGTTGGGTTGTCCAAATCAGAAACCAAACAAGGCCCTTATGTTCCTTGTGTTGGTCACCTCTTACCTACCCACCCCCACCCCACCCAGCCATTGACAACTTGAAGAAATTGGGTCAGATTTCCTTTAGAATATCCCACATGCTGGATGTGTCTTCTTACTTCCTCATTGTGTCATTTAACTTGTTCTTCCATCTGCAGTATTTCCTGTTAAATGGAGATTAGCTCTGGAGATTTGATTAGAACAATGCTCAGTGTTTTCATTTGGCAAGAGCCCTTCATAGGTGGAGTGGAATGCTTCAGACTGCATCCCATCAGGAGGCATACAGTGTGTGGCTGTGCCCCTTTAGCAGTGCTAAGATTCACCAGTGGGGGCCGGTGGTGACAACTTGATCCCTCCATTGTAAAGTTCTCCATCCACCACGATCCTTGTTTCATCCATTGAAAATTCTTGTTTGATCAGTTATTTCATTAGGGGTTGCAAAATGGTGATTTTTCTGATTCCATATCCTTCCATATTAGTTGAAATGCTTCTGTAAATAAGTTTTCTGTACCACTTACTGTTATTTGGATATCCTGAAATATAGTTTATACAAGAGAGGCAGTATAAATGCTTAATTCTTTTTAATTGCCAACTTGCAGAATAAGAAGTTGGGAGAAGCATTATTTTTTAAAAGTTTTGGACTTAGAGCTGAACAGAGATGGATGGCCTGGATAGTAGGTGGGGAAAGGAGGAACTATTCTGGCACCTGTATCCAGTCTTCACTCGCTCTAGTGTATACGGGGTGTGGGGGGCACAGACAGATACTAAAGTGCTTCGTGTCTTGCTCCTTGGACAGCATGAGACAGGCCTGGTGTGCAGGGTGCTACAAGGGACGGGGAGAGAAAGAGAGAGAGAGAGCCAGATAGGGGGAGGCAGAGAGAAAGGTAGGAAGTGAAAAAACAGCTAGGCAGAGAAGACTGGAAGAGAGAGAAAGACAGAAAGGGAAACAGAAATGAGATCACGAATGAAGTATACCAAGAAGCAGAATAGGACAGAAAAGCAGAGTGATGTGAGGTGCCTTGAAAGACAAAGGAAGAAATTAGACTTGAAGACACAAATTGAGACAGGAAAGGGGAAAAGAAAGAGATGCATATGTTAAATGTATTTTAAATTAGAAGGCGTAATGGAGGGAGAATTAGAGAAATAGAGAGTGGGGGAAACACATGTCAAGACACAAGATAGATGAAGGCAGAATGTCCCAGTGATAGAAAAACACAAATGGAGAGAATGACCTGGAAAGAGAGAAGGAAGGATAAACTGAAAGATAAACAGAGATAGAAAGAAAAAAAACACAGGGTTCCAGAAACAGAGGCTGAGAAAAAAAAGACCGAAAAAGACTAGAGTCAGAGAACTTGAGGAATGTGGAGGGGGGCTCAGCGGCTCTCAGTTTAGGACCCAGTCCTGGGAAGATACTGGACTGTCACTTGCAGCTTCTTCTTGGAGTCTTCTTCAAACCCCTACACCCCCAGGAACAGGGGACTTATGACTAGCTGTGTGTGAATGGGATCATTGGGAACCTGTGTCAAGTGTTCCCAGCTTCCCTCACCCCCACACCAGGTGAGCATAGATGTTGCAGATGGGACTAATCCTGGAAGATTGAGGTCATGAGGCTGAGTGAGCACTCAGAGATTTGCAAGATAAGACATTCAGGCAGAGAGCGCCAGATTCCTCGAAGTAAAGGACCATGTGTGATGCCATGATATCCAAGGGAAGGGAGGAGCCACAAACCCTCTCTGCTCAGCCTCCTCTTCTGGTCCAAGAACAACTGATCATCTGTGCCTGACTGCAGATGAGAGATAAGGGGTCCAGAGGCTCCTGGGTCAGCCAGGAATATGGGTGAAGGATCAAAGGGCAAAAATGGCCCCCAAAGGATCCCCTACCACCTCTAGAGGAAGAATCTATCTTATCTATGTGAACTGCAGAGAAGCCAGGAAGGGTCTCCAGGGGAGGCTGTCAAGAGGGGGAAAATGGCCAATTTGCTCACCTTCAGGGGCCTTGGAAGAGGATCTGAGAAGAATTTCCATTCCAAAAGCTGCAGAAGAGCAAAAGAGGAGTTTCTGGAACCAGCAGGAACATGCCCAGAAACTAATTTCAAAGCAGATGCCTGTTCTCACCCCCAGAACTGAGGGGGAAGCCAGAGGCTCTGAGTAACCTTCTGCCTTTACCTTCTGGGCGAGGAGTCTAGGTGAGCCCCCTCGCTCCACCCAGAGCTTCTGCCTCTTGCCTGAAAAAGCAGCTACAGAAGTGCCCCAGCAGCCTGACAGTCTCTGTAGGGGGCAACTGCCCACCTAGACGATCAGACAGTGCCTCTGAGAGGTGTGTTGTCCTGTGAAGCAGCAACTGCGGTGGCCAATGGAGCCTGGAGGCCCCCAGGTAGGTCCTTGGCCACAGCTACAGTTGTCACTGTAGCCCAGGCAGGAGCTGGGACAGGCAGATAGGCCCTTGGTACAAGGGTAAATGGGGCAAGGTGAGGGATGGCAACAAGGCAAGTGAGGGCCAGAGCATGGGACACAGGGCCTATGGGGATGTGTTGAGGGAGGACAGGCAGGGCAGGGAGGGCAGGTGCAGGTGCAGGGTGGGCCAGGGAGTCTGGGACAGGAGGGACAGGTGGTTGTGTAAGAGGGATAGGCAGTGCAGGAGGAACAGGTGGGAGGAGGGCAGCCAGGGCAGGGGCAGGCACAGGCAGAGGAAGGACAGGAGAGACAAAGAGAGGCAGCTGGAGGGCTATGCACAGGGGGTGCAGGAGGTTGTTGCTGGGTGGCCTTGTTTCGAGGCCCCAGACGTAAGCCCAGAGAGAAGTCCATTCAGTTGCAGGAGCAGCCAGGCTGGGGGTTGGGGAAAGGGGAGGGCATGGGAAGAGTAGAAGGGGCAGACAGGCGGGCAGAGGTGGGGGCAGGATTAAGCCTAAGACACTGCTGAGCTTGCTGAGCTTTCAGGGAGCTCAGACCTCCCCAACCAGCCCTCCCTTTCCAGGCCTGCCCAGCAGTGCTCTCCTGCGGCCCTCCTCTGCACTGAAAACCTTCCAACTACACCAGCCGGGAACACGTTCTTGAAATACAACATGCACTTTCATGCCTTCAGTCCTTTGTTCACACTGTTCCTTCTGCTTGGAGTGCCTTTTCTCTTTTCTCCACCTGGCTAGGTCCTATAATCTCTGAAGTCTTTCCCTTTATTCAAAAAGTATTTCTTAAGCTCCAGGCACCTGACACCTGCCTGGGTAAGGACCCCAGTCCATTACTCTCCAGCCCTGGTGGCCAGACCAGCAGCTTCAGTCTCCCAAACAGTCCCCAAGGGGACTTAGGGAAGCAGCAGCAGCAGCAGTGGCAGCAGCAATAGGAGCAGCAGCAGAAGTAGCACTCTGAGACTGAGCTGGGGATGTTGGTGGGAAGTGGAAGTGGAGGGAGGATGCCTGGGTCCTGGAAGATTCCAAAAGGGGCAAGTCCCAGGTATAGGGGTGGGGATGCTCAGCTGTCTCTGGGAAGCTGACAATCAGCCTGGATAAGATAGCCACAGCTAAGTCTCCTCTCTTATGGAGCTCTCATAAAAGTGAGGAGTGACATGGGATGGAGACTAAAACCAAACAGGTAAACGAACAAATGTATTAGCTTATTTCAGAGCATGCAAATGACAATGAAAAAAAGAAAAAAAAAACCCAGGATGTTGTGATAAAAAGTGACTCAGAGAGGTGGATTCATCTGACAGAATGACTAGACATTTCCCAAATAGGTATGACAGCCCTTAAGGGTTTCAGGGGAGATAAAGTCTGTCTAGCCCTGGCCAACCCTGGGGGAGCTGCCTGAGGCAGAATGGAACCCAGGTATCTGGCCCATGGAGAAATACAAAGCTGAGAAGGAGATAAGGAGTGCTGGAGATTGCAATCTAAAAATGTGGTGGTCAGGAAAAGTACCATTGAGAAATGACATTTTAGCAAAGATCTGAAGAAAGTGAGGAGTGAGTCATGGAGGCATCTAGTGGAAGAAAATCCCAGGGAGGGGAGACAGCAAGAGCAAAGAGTAGTCAAGGCAGAGGTATAGAGTGAGGCGGGGGCCTTGGGAGTCACAGTGGGACTTGGGTCGTATTTTAAGAAAGAGGCAAAACCACTAAGGGTTTCAGGCAAGAAAGTGTATGGGTCTTCTTGATCCTATGACTGCCCCTGGTTAAAATGTTTTTCTTCCTGAGAAACTGGTTCAATCATTTTGGGAAAATGTTTGGCCTTATTTGATAAAACTGAGACTGCCTGGACATATACTTTGACTCTTAGTTTTATCGTCTCGAAAATCTCTTGCATGTGTGTGCTGGGAAACAGGCACAAAAATGTTCTTAGCAGCATTATGATAGTCCAAACTGGAAACAATCCCAACATCCACCAACAGTTGGGTAAAAAACAATATCGGCTGCTATGGCAAACAGTATGGAGGTTCCTCAAAAAATAAAAATAGAACTACCATGTGACTCAGCAATCCCACTTCTGAGTATTTATTTTAAAAATCCAAAATACTAATTTTAAAAGACATATGCATTCCTATGTTCACTACTGTAGCCAGGATATGGAAATAACCCATGTCTCCATTGATAAAAGAATGGATAAAAAAGCTGTGGTACATATATACAATAGAATATTACTTGGCCATAAAAAATAATGAAATCTTACCATTTGGGACAACAAGGATGGACCTAGAGGGTACTACGCTAAGTGAAATAAGTCTGACACAGAAGGACAAATGCCATATGATTTTGCTTATATGTGGAATCTTAAAATCAAAATAAATAAACAGAAGCAAACTCACAGATAAAGAAAATAAACCAAAGGTTGCTGGATGGAAGCAGGGTTGGGGGACTGGGTGAAAAAGGTGAGGGGATTAAGAAGTACAGTTTGGCAGTCACAAAACAGTCACAGGGACGTAAGTGCAGCATAGGGAATACAGTCAATAGTATTGTAAGAACTATGTATGGGGCCAGGTGGGCACTAGATTTATCAGGGGGATCACTTTGTAAGTCATATAAATATCTAGTCACTGTTCTACACCCAAATGTAATATAATATTGAATGTCAACTGTAATAAATTTTTAAATAAATAAATAAATAAATAAATAAATAGATTGTGGTATATTCATGAGACTGGATGTTATGCAATAATGAAAAAGACAGTTATATGCAACAATTTGGGTATACCTCACAAAATAATCAAGACACAAAAGAGTAATACAACATCATTCCATTTATATAAACCTCAAAAACAGGTGAAGTTAAGCAATATTATTTAGAGAGACATACACAAGTGCTAAAATGATACAGAAAGATAGGAAATAATGATCACAAAAGTTAGGATGATGGTTACTTCTTAGGGGAGGGAAGGAATTATAGAACGGACTCATGGGAGCTTCTGAGGTGTAGGAAGTACCCTTTCTTGGTAGCAGTTGAATAGGTATTTATTTTATTCCAATTCATTCTGTACACTGTTCATAATATATTTATGCACTCTTTTAGAAAGAGAAAATAAAAGCACCACTTCTGTTCCATGCCACCTCATTCAAATCATTGTGTCTAAGTTAGACAGATATTCCTAGTCCACACACCTAACTTTCCCACCTGCCCTTGAGGATGGAGACCTTTCCTGTATTTCGGGCCCCTATCACTGCCGGGTATATAGCAGATGCTCAATAACTGCTGAATTGGATTGAGTTGAATTCCCCCAAGTCTCTCATCCCATGGAGAGGCGGGTGTCTGCAGAAGAGGATGAAGTCTGCTGTGGTGAAGGAAGCACAGGATTCCTCCTGAGACCTGGGTTCACATATTAGCTCTGCCACTTCCCAGCTGTGTGATATTGGGCAAGTCATTTAACCTCTCTGGTTCTCAGCTCCCTCTTCTGTGAAATGGGGATGATAACTGCTGCCTCTCTTATTCACAGGGACTAAGTGAATAATGTACACACTCAGCACAATGCCTGGAACATTTAGGTGCTCAACAAAGGTTGGCTCCTTCCCAACTCCCCACACCAATATCACTTTTTTTTTCTTCAAAGGAGTCCACTAGAAAGAGCAAACAAATATCAAAAATTATCCCAGAGTGTGGGCCAACACCCTCAGGGCCCAGGGGCTAAGGCGTAGATGTAGTCTGGTTCAGAGCTGGCAGATAGGGTGATCTGATGGGAGCTGAACAGATCGCAGGCAGTTGGTGGGAGCTGGCAAGGTTGGGAAGACACTAGAGTCTGGGAATTTCCATCTAGGGGAAGTCCCAGGTATGGGTGCAGGGGAGCCAGACTGGCTCCACCCAATACCGTGGCCTCGGAGCTGTGGGCACAGGGAGGAAAGTGGGTCACAGCAGGGCTGGAACTTAACTCCATTGGTCCCATGACCTCCTTGCCAGTTATGGAGGAGGCACAGCCTCGAAGAAGCCTGCTCCCTCCTTCAAAGAGCCCTCAACTGCTTTTCTTCAGAAATGAAGAACCTTGGATCCCTGGGGTCCAGGCAGAAGGAACTGGACCACCGCCTCCCCCACCCTGCCCAGGAGACAGAGCAGAGATAATTCCCTAACCTGTGGATGGAGATTCTGTACAAACAGACTGTTACACCCACCCACATGGTGACTGGCGCACACTTGGAGCACTCACCTCACACTCTGGGCACCTATGGAGGCAGACATGCTCCTTGTTCCAGGGGTAAGACAGGTTAGGGCTGGATCAGAGAGGGGATTGGGGCACATGGTAGAACCGCTCAATGGAACCTCTGGTGAGACTCCAGCTAGGCAAATTCACCCTGAGGGCTTTGCCAACAATGTGGGGCCTTGTTTTCCGTGTATAACCTGAAGCCTAAACCTATGGATTCCTCGTCCTTATCTGTGCCTCTGTTTCCCTTTCTGGAGAAGATAAAAGAATGGGTGGAGTCATTCCAGGGCAAGGTCACAGGTGTTCCAGGGTCTTGCTTTGGCCATCCCTCGTTTGTAGCACATCCAAAACTAGGTGGACAGCAGGGATGGAGGGTCCCTCTTCTTTCTGAGGCACCAGTGGCTGGGAACCAGGACCCCGATTGCAGGGCCTTTGCACATACTCTTCTGCTGCCCTCCCTTCTCTCCACTCTCCCCCGCGCTTCTTCCCAGAGGCCTTTCCTGATCTTCTTGGCTGGGGGAAAAATCCTGCTACCATCCATTCTCATAGTACCTTATGCCTCTTCACGCTGGTTATCACTTGCAATGTCATGGGTTATTTGGTTGACATCTGACTGCACCCCCAGCCTAGAGGTCTGCAAGGGCAGGAACCATAATTGGGTATTCCCTGGGCTTATATGGTGTTTGACATACAGTGGATGCTTAATAAAGATTTGTTGAATTCATGAAAGGTACATGTTTAGAGGAGTAAGGGAAGACATTTCTAGAGTTGTGTAGACTAGTTCTTAAAATCCTGTGTTTTACAATCAAGGCCTTCTTCTATGTGGGATCTGGGCAGCACTGTGGCTGTTAAGGGCCATCCACACACAAACTCATTCATCAGGAGAGCCAACAAACTGGCAAGCAGCAGATTAGGCCTGGCACAAGGGGTGGAATTGAGCAAGTACAGGGGGTAGAGCAGGCACCAGCCATGGCACAAGACAGGCCTAGGGGAGGAGGGGGGAGGAGGGGAGAGGAAGGGAAAGGAGAAGATGTGATGTACAAAACATGTTTTCATCACACTCTCCCTGAGTGCCCTGGTCTCCAGGCCCCGGTGGCACTTTCACGCCTTAATGATGTCCTTGGAGGTTGTAACAGAGCTCCCTCAACCTCATCTGCTAGCCCCCTCTGAACATGGCGTAGGACAGCACCCCCCCCAGCACCAGACTTGGC